CGGAGACGAAAGAGGATGCTTCTCTCCCTGAGTCTGGCCTTCATAATTCCATTCCATCACATCTGGACTGTAATTATGCCACCATCCAAACACTGCTGAAGGTTGACAGCTACATCTCCCCAGGAAGGCACCCACGTGCTATGGATTTTCATTTTACAATTTAATTTTAAATAGGCACAACCAGCACAAGCCAGCACAACAGCTAGCCCAAACAGCAGAAGATATGAGATGGTAGGGAGCAGAGGGAAGAGATAGTAGAAGCTGACCTGGTATGAATCTTGAGCTGTGATGGCTGAGCAAATCTTGAGGCACAAACGCCACACTGATACGGCTTCTCTCCTGTGTGGGTCCTCATATGAAAGACCAGGGCTGTCCTGGAACTCAGTATTTTTCCACAGACAGAGCAGAGGGGACGCTTCACTCGGCCTTCATGCTTCCGCACACAGTGAGTCCTCACATCCCTCTTTCTTTTAAAGGTGGCATTGCACAGGGTGCAGGCAAACTTCCTGTCTTCTGTGTGAACGCAGGCTCGGTGCTCTTTCCAGCTGTTGTAACTTGCAAAAGATTTGCTGCAAACATCACACTGATATACTTTCCCAGGCAAGGAATGATGGACTTCTTTGCAGTGGTTGACGTATTTCCTCCGTGACGGAAACTTCTCAGTGCATTTGGTACAAGTTATGATGTAAGCAGATTTGGGGATGACCTTGTTTTTGTTAACTTTGCAATTTACATCCTGTTCAGGGTCTTCTCTATCGTGATTATTTGAGTCCTTGTTGTGATTATCACCTGAAGAAAAGGCCTCATTGTTGCTATATCCTCCTGCTTCACAACGTCTTTCTCCATTTCCTTCCACATCCACAGTTCCTTGTCCACTGGTTTTCCCTTTTTCAGTATTAGTTTCATCACCTAGTTCCAGCTTCTTGCCTTTGTTGTCAGGCTGTGCTTCCCCTGGAAGAGATCTACTGGATTCTCCCTCAGGCTCCTGAGTAGCTTTGCCCAGAATTTCCCTTTGCTGGCCACTATTTGGCCCCTTGTGATGTATTTTGTTACTCCTGTTGATTCCACTATCTACCACTTCTACTTTTTCTGCTGGTGGAACTATTGTCCAATAAGCTGGCACGCATTTTCCATCATTCCTGGATTCATGTATTTTTCTGTTGGAGAAAAAATAATTTACAGATAGAAAGATGGTGCTTTGAGCCTTACAAAGACTTTAAAAAGCCATTTGCACATAGTATCTTCCCAAATGAGAACCATCAGCCTGATTTTGCCTAATAACGTTGTCCCAAGCCTCCAAAATAAGGCATTCCAAAATCTTTAGCCCCACCCACTCAGGCTGCACTGAAGGTTACAAACGGAGTGTCCAGGAACCACAGCTGGTACGTGGGCTGCTCACCTCTGCCGTAAAGCAGGATGTAGAAACCACAATGGCTGGATTCAGTCCACACAGTAAACCAAAACCAAACCAGTCCCATTATGGCTGAGCATAATGTGAAAACTCTGCCACAAAATCAAAAGCTAAAACGCTCACCAGCCAACTTCTGTTTGGTTCTGTTGTCTGCTTTTTATGTAGTTAAAAAAAGGGATTACCTTACATGAGTAGTAAAGGCTGACCTCTGAGCAAAACTGGCCGGACAGAGTTCACACTTATAAGGCTTCTCCCCCGTGTGGGTTCGAATGTGAACTGTCAGGCCACACTTGGAGCTGATGACTTTGTCACAGTAGGGGCACGGCTGCGGACGCCGCTCCTTTTCATGCACCCTGCGGACATGAGCACTGATATCCTTCTGACGCTGGAACTTTTTGTCACACAGCAAACAAGGGAAGCCCCGCTCTCTGTTGTGGACAGTGAGCCTGTGTCGCCTTAGATTGTGGCAACTGGGAAAGAGTTGGCCACAAATGTTGCAGCTACACTTAATTCCCAGGCTTGTGCTCTGCTCCAGATCAATATGAGAGTGGTACTGCTCAGCAAAGGGGAACAAATTATTACATTTGTCGCATGCGTACGATCTTGGCGAGACTCTTGGCATACTGCGGGTTGATTTTCTGAGTTTGGCGTTACAGAGAGTCAAACTACTTTCATCCTTCTGTTGGTCCTGCAGTGTCCTGCTTAAAGCCGTGTGGGCTTCCTTTAAGTCGTCCTCATTTAGCGAAGGACCATCAGTCTCACTGGTATGGTCAGATGTCATTGCTGACTCATCTTTGGACTTACCACTCACAATCCTATCTTCATTAGGGTTTATAGGTTTATTTTTGATATCATCAGAACTGGTGGTTAGTTTTGAGTGGTTCATTCTCTCCCCCAAATGCTTCTTCATTGGTGCAGCAGCCAAAACATGGGATAATTCACACTGTTCTTTCCCTCCTCCTTGTTCTGCTCGCTTCCAGGGCAATCTAACATCTTCATTTTTTTTCAAATGAACACTCGGTTCCAAATCTCCACCTACAGCCTTCATTTCTTCAAAAATGTCAAGCAGATCCTGGCATTCAAGCCTTTTGGCAACCTCCTTGATCCGGTACAGTCTGTCCACTTCAATTTCTAACTCTGCTGTGTAAACAAATCTGAGGAATGACACAAATTCTTCAGCTTGAATATCCTGGAGGATAATCCTGCAGTTTTTGACATTCATCATTTCATTATTGAGGAAAAGGCTTTTAAAGTAATTGCTAGAAGCTGCTAAAACAGCTTTGTGAACGTAAAATTCCTTCTGGATACCCAGCTGGTCTGTGTATATTGTAACATCACAAAAGTGTCCAAACTGATAGAGAGAATGCAATGTTCTCAGGAGGTTGGAGGCAGCAACACTGGATTTCATTAAAATGTTCTTTTTTTCCATCCTATTAAACAGAAATATAATTGAAAACATCCCATTGGGTTGTACAAATTACCCTTCTCATCAAGTTCAGTGTTAATGTCAGATCTTCCACATTCACACTAAGGACTTATACATGATCAAATTTTCAGTATTTAAAACTCCTATAATCAATGGCCAGATAGATGGTGGTAGATTAACATTGTCAAGTGATAAAAAGTCTCCTTTAGTTCAAAGGCTGCAATACCATCTATATTTACTTAAGTCACATTTAATCCAATGTTTTCTTCTGAAAATCCATTTAAGAGGACTATACTATGAGACCTGGTATTGAAAGGTTTTCCAGAGATTATTATGTTCCAGCCTCTGTTCTCTATTGTGAATTGTTTGTAAAGCTGAAAGGATGCTTCTTTGACAACCAGCATATAAAAAACAAATATGAAGATGAGATATACATAATTCAAATCCCTATAAATCATTGTGGACAGGCTTGAAAAAGTAGTGCATTTTAAATTCTTCTAAGCCATAATGTAGAATTTTGTGAAATGTTACTTTTATGTATGAAAGCAGCCAAACTGGGAAGGAGGAAACTACACTGATTCAGCCAATGAAACAAGAATAGATCTAATTGTAGTCTAATTTATACATGCAGTAGATTTAAGTGGCAATTCTTTCCAGAGACTGTGCCACTTCACATGGAGTGAACACTGCTCCTTCAGAAACTTTCATGCATGTAGAAAGAGGAGCATGGCACAGAAAATACTAAATCAGACATTCTTCCTCAGCCCTTTATCTTTTTACTTGCAAGGAAACTGTTTTTATTTAAATAAAAGAACATTAAAAAATACAACCTTCCTATTTGTAGGCCAACTACCGTAATGCAGTTCAGCAAAACCTTAATCTGACTGAATGCATTAACTGGATCAGACAATTTGCAGGAATAGTTGATAGCTAATTAATGGGGCAGGTTCCCTTGATCTGTTCCTAGGAGAAGTACACGTTTCCCCTTTGCTTCCTGTAGGAGAAAGCTGATGTATCTAGAGCATTTATTCCATTTTTTGGATTGGCAGAGAATGATCAGAAAGAGGCATCACTCTCCTAGAGTCCTCCAAATATGCCTAGACTAACAAATCGTGTCAGTCCAAGCAACCAGGGGGGGGGGGGGGGATGCATTAATGTGTTGGACTATAGCCCCCAAGGGCACTATGTTGGGGAAGGATGTAGTACAGCAGTGATGGTACTGAACTGGAGAGGCTGAGGCTCCAGGCACCGTTCAATAGGGCTTCCTGTGGACGTTCGCCCTCCCTTGGTCCAGGCTACCTCACAGGGTGGTTGTGGGGGTACAATTAATGGACAACTTCATGTAAGCCATGAAGGTTGACTTCTCAGAAAAACGGAGGGGCATAAACACGATGATTTCTAAAGATTACCCAAGTTGTAGTGTTAGCTAAATTAAACTTTTACCTCCTAACCCTGCACCTGGGGAAAGGCAGTGGTCTAATGAAACTGAAAGGGATCCAGGATTCGTGAAACAAAAACAGTTTTCCATATGGTGCTGATGTTAAGGTATCCAAGGGAGCTTTCTCCCAACCATATCCTCCAGATATGTCGTGCTATAGTTCCCGAGGATAACGGCGTTGCAGTCCAGTCCAGTCCTGGAAACTCATTGAAGAGCACCAGGTCGGGGAAAGCTGCCTCGCTTTTACGTGCAACCCCAAGGGGTCGCCCCGGCCAGCAACAAGGCGGGTTGCAATAGCACCGCGCGGAGTTCCAGACGGGGAAAAGGTCGCTCGGCAGCTCTGAACGCAAGACCCGTCCCTAGGCGCCGCGCAGCCCCTGCCCGCTCGCGGACAAAGAGAGAGGCGGTGGCGCACCTTCCCTCCCCGCTTGCGGGCTGCGGGGACCTGCTGGGACGACGCTCCGGACCGCCTTTCCGGCGTTCCAATCCGGGAGGTGCGACTAACCTGCTCAACGGGGCCGCGCGGGGCTTCCGCGGCGGAGGCGGAGGCGGAGGCGGAGGCGAGGCAGCCCTCGCGCCGCCAGCGGGAGTTCGCGCGGCCGTCGCTGAAGCCGCGGCTGAAACCGACCC